GTCTCCCAGCTTGCTATATTAGGCAAGTACACACTTACTAACGAACTTTCACTGCCTGATGATGATCATAGTTCAAGTGCCTTCAACTCACCTCAAACATCTGCCAGTCGGCAACATGGAGCCACCACAGTCAACTGCACTCCGGGACGCATTCTTGCCGTCCGCCCTGAGGAAGCCCCTATTCCACTCATCGCAGTCGAGCCCCTCCTGCCAGCAACCAGCAGTCGTCCCGGCCCTGCGTTTGAGATGGGAGAAGGAATCTTCCACATTCCTGTTATTGGCAACGGCCCTACTCGAACATCCTTCCTCCGTCAAGTGACATCTACCAGCTCCCAAATGCAACTACACGCTGAACCTTCCATTGTTCCCGAACAGCGGAGGTCGGACATAACGATTTACTATCAGAACGTTGGCGGTATGAACGGCCTCGTGGAAGATTATCATCTGGCCGTCATGGATCACTGCTACGACATTTTAGTTTTGACCGAAACATGGCTCAATTATCGAACCATTTCAAACTATGTCTTTGGTGCTGGCTACGAAATATTTCGCTGCGATCGAAACACGAATAATAGTAGGAAAACTACTGGGGGAGGCGTCCTTATCGCAGTTAATTCCAAGCTGAAAGCAGAAGTTATCGAGGACGATTCCTGGAACAGGGTTGAACAAATGTGGGTGGCTATTCAACTTGGTGATCGTCAATTGCTTCTCTGTGCAGTGTACATTCCTCCAGATCGAACCCGTGACTTGGAGCTTATTGACGCACATTGTCGATCCGTCTTGGCCGCTTCAGGCAAAGCAGGCCCTTCCGACAAAGTTATTGTTCTTGGCGATTTTAACCTACCGGACATTGCATGGACTCCAACCCATAGTGGTTTCTTTTGTCCTGATCACGAGCGTTCATCTTTCCACGTAGGAACCATCCAGCTCCTGGACAGTTATAGTACCGCAATTCTGTCACAAATCAATGGCCTGTTGAATGAAAACAACCGCACCCTGGATCTCTGCTTTGTGAGTGCTCGTGATACAGCTCCTTTCCTCTCCACGGCACCCAAACCTTTAGTCAAGGTAGTGCATCATCACCCTGCTTTAGTTATCGTGATCGAAAATAATATTGTCCATGATTTCACCAGCACTCCAAACGCTGTGTCATATGACTTCCGTAGAGCTGACCATTGCAGTATCGTCCATGTGCTGTCTAACCTAGATTGGGAGCATATTCTAGATCCTGTAGACGTCAACATTGCTGCACAAACCTTTTCTCACTTCTTGGCATATGTCATTGACAGACACGTTTCCAAAAAGATCATCCATATCGACTCTCGCGTACCGTGGATGACGAACTAAAAGAAGGCTGCTCTCAGAAGATTTACTAAACTCCGCACACTGCCACTGAAATGCTACTATGTCAGAATCAACCACGAGTATAAGCGGTTAAGTCGTCTCTGTTTTCAACGCTATCAAAGGAGGATTCAACGGCGGCTAAAATCACACCCGAAATCCTTCTGGAACTTCGTAAATGAGCACCGCAGGGAAGTCGGCTTACCCTCTTCCATGATTTTTAATGGTGAAACTGCTGGAAATCAACAAGACATTTGGAACCTGTTCTCAGCCAAATTTGCTAGTGTGTTTGAAGCCGAGCAACTCTCCGCTAATATCATTACTTCCGCGGCCAGTAATGTTCCTTTGATCAACCAAACGCTCAGCATGGTCGAAGCCACTACAGATACGATTTCTAGAGCAGCATCTAAACTTAAGACTTCAACTAAGGCTGGACCCGATGGTGTTCCGTCGATTATTCTTAAAAAGAACATCACTTGTCTTTTAGATCCACTGCGCCGCATATTCCAGCTCTCTCTTTCCAGCGGCATCTTTCCGTCTTGCTGGAAGACTGCGGATATGTTTCCTGTTCATAAAAAGGGAAGCAAACGCGACGTAAACAACTACCGGGGAATCACATCGCTGAGTGCTGTATCAAAACTTTTTGAATTGGTTGTCATAGAGTCCCTAAATGCGCATTGCAGGCAATATCTAAGTACAGATCAACACGGATTCATAACTGGGCGTTCCACAACTACGAACCTGCTGTGTCTAACGTCTTACATCACAGACAGTTTGATTGCTCGGACCCAAACGGACGTTATCTACACAGATCTTACGGCAGCCTTCGATAAGCTGAACCACGAAATTGCGATCGCTAAGCTTGATAGGCTAGGGATCGGTGGAAATCTTTTGAGATGGTTTCGTTCATACCTCACGGAGTGCCAATTGACAGTAACTTTGGGTACTTGTCGCTCAGCAAGCTTCTGCGCAAAGTCCGGTATACCTCAGGGCAGCCATTTTTTTTTTTCCTTGGATTTGCTTTCCGTCGATCTTGTTTTCCGTGCTGAGCACCAATGCTACCGACGCCAGGAAGGCAGCTCCCACACCTGGACCCTACCTATCGACCCATCAACTCATGAACCGGGGACCAACGGCTTTAATTCCCTTCCGAAGGAAGGCGTGATTACAGATGTTATGCCTCAGAACATCCCGGCGGCGCCGACTGGGATTGAACCCAGGTCTGCTGGGGTGAGAGGTAATCACGCTTACCACTACACCACCGGCGTCAGGGCAGCCATCTGGGACCATTGGTATTTCTCCTCTACTTCGACGACGTTCACCATGTTATCACAGAGCCACGATTATCGTTTGCAGACGATCTGAAAGTTTTTCTGCGCATCCGCTCACTCGCTGACTGCCGTTCTCTCCAAAATCAGATTGACATCTTTGCTGACTGGTGTAGTCTAAACCGACTGGTGGTCAACCCAGCTAAGTGTACAGTTATTACTTTCTCACGCAAGAAACAACCGATTATTTTCAACTACAAACTACTAGGCACGACTATCGAACGGGTGCACTGCGTGAAAGACTTAGGCGTTTTTCTAGACTCAAAGCTGACATACTCACACCATATATCGTATGTCGTCGACAAAGCGTCCAGAAAGCTTGGCTTTGTCTTCAAGATTACTAAGAACTTCACGGACATTTACTGCTTGAAATCGCTCTATTGCTCTCTCGTACGATCTACGTTGGAATACTGCTCTGCTGTCTGGAGCCCGAACTACAATAATGGGGCCGAGCGAATTGAATCTGTTCAACGACGTTTTCTTCGCTTCGCGCTCCGTAAGCTGCCTTGGAGATACCCACTTCGTCTTCCAAGCTACGAGAATCGCTGCCAATTGATCAATATCGAGCCCTTACGTATCCGAAGAGATGTTTTCAGAGCCTTAACCGTCGCCGATACTCTGCAAGGAAGAATCAACTGCGAAGCAATTCTGCAACAAATGAACATTAATGTTCAACCTCGATCACTACGCAACAGTCTTATGCTGAGACTTCCACTTCTTCGAACTAATTATAGCATAGGGAGTGCTATTTACGGCTTGCAGCTAGTGTTCAACCGAGTAGCGTCGATGTTCGATTTCCACTTGACATGGAATATGGTTCGCCGAAGATTCTCTGCCTTTTTTGCTGACCGAAGGCGCTTGATACAAGACTTATAAATTTTTAGTAACTTGACAATGCTTTCCTAGTTATTTTCGTTTGTATGTCGTCTGTATAATCTGTACTTTTTTTACAACACATCATTGGGACTATTTCTAGTCTGTTGATGCAACCATAACAAATAAACAAATAAATAAACAAATAAATAAACAAATCAGTGACTTGAATCATTAATAACTTTTGTTCCTTACATTTGATTGAACAGTGGTTTTCAACAAAGTTGTAGCTGGGAAAATTTGCTACAATCACTGCTATCATTTTTAGAAGCATAGTTATGTGGTGAATTGTTAGATAGATATGAACAAAACATAGTAATTCCCATATAAACTTGAAATGGTTTGTGCCAAGTCAGTTTCTTTCTAAAGTAGTTCAAATTTTGGGAGGCTAAGCAGGAACTAATTTAGAACCGTTTAAGCACTGTGGAGCGAAAATTTCACATTTTGCATCAGTCTAGAATATACGTTGTGTACGAGTAACCCGAATACAACGTTTGACTCGACTAATTTTGCATAGCATTTGCAATGTAAAATTAGACGAACTAAACGTTGTATTCGGGGTACTCGTATACAGCGTATATTCGTCATAAGTCATATGTTTCGTTACGGTAAATGAGGTGGGTGTTTTCAAATCTGGTTACGAGACGCTCTTCTTAAAAAAAAAAATTATTTAGTTGTTTCAATTTAAATATTTAAATAAGTTCAGCAAATAGAGGAAATGGCTCTAATGTTGGCCTATGGATCTAAGATTGGGCCCATCGCTGAAAATCTGCTATTTATCAATTTTATCTAGATAAACGCCTCATCGGGACGGTACTAATGGATATTTTTAGTCGCTATTGAAAATATAGTCGATTGCCCAAATTAGGCGGCCTAAATGCATTATGTCCATTTCCCCTACATCAATCTGCTTTTTCTATAAAAATACTGCTAATGCCTTTTGAGAAATTTTCAGTAGTAGAATGTAGATAGTAGAGATCAGTGTATTTTACATTATCACAAAATAAATAGAGCCAAATGCTAAAAATGATAAAAAGAATCGTCTTGCAGATCTGGACAAGGTTAGATTTGAGGCAAAAAAATGCGTTATAATGTATTCTTTTGTCAGTTTTGTGAAGTTTCGTTTCATACTCCCAAACTTTTATTTTCACGAAAATTACCACGCGTTATGTGTTACGTGGGAAGGGGTGGTTGAACAATAATACGTTACTGACGCCAAAACACAATTTTTATTTTGGCGTATACGTCACATTGTAATCACACGGCTGCACGTTGCGGAAAAACGACGGTTAACTTCATTGTTTAACTATTAGATTTTCTGCAACTTTTATACAACGGATGCAATGTGCGTGAGGCTTAAATAATTGAAAACTTACTTTTTAAACTGTAATATTGTGCCGTTAATAAATCAGCAAATTACTATGCACACGCATTGTTTTTCAAAAATAAAATACTTACTACTTGCGATCATCATCGGCTTACTTTGAGATTTCCCCTTCTTCCTTTCGACATGGAACTGACGACGACGATTTTGTACAGCCAACAGCAAAGAAATGAACGTATTCTTCAGTTCCTTCTCGTACTCCAATTCATCTCTTAAAGCCAGCTCCGATATAAGAGTTTCAGAGAATTCTCTAATTAAAACTTCCATTTCCATATAGAGCTCATTTAATTGAGTAATCGTTAGAGATCGTAGTTCTGAAAAAAATGAATATATTTTCAGTTAATTCGCACGTTTTTGATAGCATTTGTTGCAAAACCCGCAGTACCGTAATGCTCCGAATACCGGGTGATCCGTTTATGCGGACATTTAATTTTTAATGAATCGTTAGGTTTACTTTGCAACATAATAAACATGTATCATGAACTATCTTAGTCTTAAATTATATGTTTATACTTACTTTCCTCGTATAACGGTGATCCAAGAACTTCTTTGGCTTTTTCCATTATTTCATTACCAACAATGCCATCTTCAGAGGCGCTTTCATCCATGATATCATCAATCTCTTTAATGACTTCTTCCGCTGTTTTGATGGGGTCATTGTCGGTATGAAGGCCTCCCAGTATTAAAGCGTGCATATCCAAATCATTTGCAACTGCCTCATCTTCGGAACTGAGATCTTGAATGTCATTGTAGTTTGTTCGGTCGGATGATGACGCCAGCTTCAAAGTAGGTACATGCATTTGCCTTGCGTATGTTTTTGACCAATCTATTGGTAATATATTTCCGAAATTACCGGTTATAGTCCACCACATCCTAGAAACAAGCAGCAAAAAAAAAAACGTGATGTATTACCGTATGCAGTTAGTTAAACCATTCAACTACTGACAGCATGCACCTTCCAAAAGTTACTCAAAAAATATATATGTAGGTGTGAAATCCTCTTTTTTAGTATCGATAATAGAAACAAAAAAAAAGATGATATTTGATAGGCAAGTTCTTCAATTATATAGGGGGAATGTCTCTAATGGATCTAAGATTGGGCCCATCACTAAAAATCTGCTATTTATCAATTTTATCTAGATAAACGCGTTATTGGGACGTTACTAATGGATATTTTTGGTTGCTATTGAAAATTTAGTCGATTACTGAATTTATGTATGGGCCCAAATTAGGGACACTTAGGCCGGCATTTCCCCTATTTATCAAATATTTTTCTTTCTGGAATATTAAACTGGGGTGCAAATCATAAATTTGCCAACTGAAAGTGTGAAAAAAAGTCTAACGAAATAGTGTTAGGTTTTATACCTTTATAGTTTGGCCATTTATGAACTCTTATTGCATTATTTGATTAAGATTTGATGTAAAATTTGTTGGGATTTAAATTTCAAACTTTATTCAATAGTAAACTATTGACTATTCATCAAACCATATGGCTAAAATTATGCAATAAAATGCTTGCTTGCCATGGACTATTGACTGTATACAGACGAGCCGATAGTAAATCCCTAACGCGGACGGCAATATCAGATACCAAAACACTAACCTTACCTCAACATAAACCATTGAACAAATTTCAAATGTGCCTACCCTAATAAAAAATAACATACACGAATGTTAACTCAAATGATAGAACTATTCCACAAATGTTTGGAATGATACCCCAAATACGTCGTTAAGCAAAATAATCATTCAAAATTTTATTAGGGTAGGCGCGCACAGGGCTGTCTTGCATCAACGTAGAGAGAGCAATGTCACTGATGAAAAATATTGTATTACTATCTTCGTCGCACTCCAAGTAGCGCATGACAAATTCCGTATGAAGACAGTCCTCTTTCATTTACGTCGTGAAAAAAACTAGCTCAGTACGTTCTCTCTCTCTTAGATCGGTCGGTTACTCGGAGAGGATTAAAAACTGCACGTTTTAGTCAGCCTTTCCGTATTGTTTGACAAAAAATGATGATCGTTGGAAGCAACACAAAAAAGTTAAAATGGGTACAAAACGGATCCGAACCCCCAACGTTGAGATTAACAGGCATGTATCTTCACCACTGGTCTATCAGCGCTTAGGAAAATAGAAAGGCTAAAGGAAAACAAGAAGCGCTCATAGTGTGGTTACTAGTCTGCTCACATGCACGTTCGACGGTATTTGTATTTTTTTTTGTCCATGCATGATACAAAAAAGAGAAGTGAGGGTAAAAGCTGCGATAGGATTTGTTCACAGGGATTACTGTCGGCTTCTCTTCGTCAATGACGAAGGATGTATGGAAATGATGGTTTTTGTACCGCGACAATTTATTTTTGGTTTTCGTCAAACGTCACTGACCAAACTGACCGTTACCAACTCTGGGCGCGCAACGGGCAAGGTGGATCGACTAAGTAAAAGGCGACATGCGGACTTTTCGCAGACTACGAGACTGGTTAAGTGTGGCCATGGAACGAGTATAGTGGATACGACTTCTTCGGAAAGCAGAGGACATCAAGGCCTTGGTATAAGGCTTTTCAGATATTTTATTATTGGAATAATTAATAGTTATTGCAGAATAAATCAAATGTTCACCATGGAAATAACCTGATTGGACCAATTTTAGCTGTAGACCAGCTTCTACAGGCACAAATTAGACATAAGTTTTTGGAAATATTTGCCCCATTTTGAGATATGACTTCTAAGCGGTTCCATACTAATCCAGTTATTCTTGTATTTTTTATTTGGATGAAAATTTGTTTCCATCATCAAATACTCTGGATAGTGGGTATGACGGTGGTTCAGCAAGAATAATATGTAATTCATATACAAATATTGTGTAATATGTTTTTAGTCCTTATAAGATTCTTGGTGGGCCACACCTCCGACCTGGTTGCAGCAACAGTGTCGCATGAAATAACAACAACTGCCTGCCTCTGAGGTGGGGGGACCGACAGCGCTCACTACGGGTCTATACTAACATCACTCTAACACTAAGGCTCTGAACCATTTGGTGGATTATTTTAACGTTTGGTTAAAATTTGACAGATGGAAAGTTATCGATTAACCCTGCTATCCGAGCGTGGTTATTTCTGACAAGAAGTTAAATTTTGACAACCGTGGCTGAGTTCTTCTCATAAACCGGTCGATCGACAGCAGAAATCCTCGGAAAAACTCTAATGGGAATGTTCGATTGGCTCAGATTTTGACAGTTCATTTGGTTCAAAATATTCTCTCCGCCCATCTCTCCCTCTGAGTATTTCTAGTGCAAACTCATGCGCTTGTGATAAAGGGCAGACGAATTAGTTCCCTTACCTACTACCAGCGCTTCGTATATGTCTTTAACCTACTCGCGCTACGAGAAGTCAAGACGCAGGCCTGATGATCACAAGATTGATGGTTCGAGTCCCAGTCTGCAGCGCTTTTTTATATGTTATAATTTTGCTTCGTGCACAAACCCATGTGCAACAGCGGCGCCGGTGGTGTAGTGGTTAGCGTGATTACCTCTCACCCCACCTGGCCTAGGTTCAATCCCAGTCGGCGCCGCTGGGATATTCTGAGGCGTAACATTTCTGATCACGCCTTCGATGGCTCCCTGGCGTCGTGCTCAGCACGGAAAACAAATCAAGGGAAAACCATTGGGCATTGTACACGTGTGCAAAATCTGCGAATACACTTGTGTACATCGATACACCCGAGTGTAATGTATGAATTGTACCTGTGTACAAAATTGCGCGTAAGTTCAAGCTAAACATTCGCTTTGATTTTTGTACACAAGCTCAACATGGTACATGTTTTCGTGAAGGCTGATAGGAATCAACGTTGCGTTGAAATATTACTATAGTACCTATTGTATTGCAGTTCCTGGTAGCAAATGGCATTGGTTTTGGTTAATCTACCTGTGCACCAACTCTCAAAACATAAAAATTATCAAAATATTTCTTGCTTAATAATGAAATATTTGTATCGTAAATCATAACTCAGACCTCCTTCTCCCTCTCCCCATCCATAAAACTGTAAATCTCTACTAACCTCGAGACGACCGCGAGTAATCGGTTCAATTCCTTTAACTCTAGATTTAAGAAATTAATTATGTATAACGCAAATGACAACTTGGCTCTGTAAAGTTTATTCGATTGAGCCTATACAAATAAATTGATACAAAAAAAAAATATTGCTTGCAATGGATAAATCGAGTAAACTAGAAGATTAAGTTTATTTTTTAACCGATTCGAGTATGAATATGGCATTAAATCTGGTTTTGAAAGTTGGTGCACAGGTAAAAAATGAGGTTATGGGACGCCACTGTGCCTGATACAGACTCGACAATAAAAAAAAAACAAATAGTTGTGGATCTGTGGAAGTGACGCGCTTTAGTTCAGTGACTCAGAAGAAAAAGTAGTAGTGAAAATGAATACTTTTTTATCAAAAGTGTATAAACGTGTCTAAAAAAAATGCTCAAAAAAGAGTCGAAATCTTACGGAAAATAATATTCAGAAATTCGTTGAGCTGAGTTTTGCTAATGAGAATCAACTTAACAGTAACTTCAAAATTTGCGATTCTTGTCGTATACAGCTTTCCAAACGTACCGAACTATCAAGTAGTGATGAGTTATAGAACTTCGATGAATATCAACATGAATGTTCCAAGTCAGGAATCTTTGGCAACTGTACCATCAGTGACACCGGCAGAAACAATTGACTCAAATGTTGGTGAATATACGCAAAATGTTAACAATGAAATTTTCACCAGTTGATATGCAGAAAATCAGTGCCGTAAATTATGCAGTGCAGAAATATCATGAAATTAATCAAAGAATAAAAAATCATATCTTGGCACTTAATGCAGGAGCTAAGTTAGATAATAATATTGACGATTTCAATTAAATGATCGAACTGCTTACCGAAAAGTTTTCAAAAGAAGAGACAACGAAGAATAAGAAGCTTCAGCTATTCCCACCTGTTACCTACATTATGTTCAGGTGGAGGCGAACCAGCCCAAGGCTGAAAGCCTCCCTAATAAAGATAAATAATAATAATAATTATGTTCAGTTCAAAAGCTCATGGATACATTCAATACATCCAGATATATGGTAACACAAGTAAAACATCACTTGTTCCGTGTTGGGCTGGGGGACAGTAATCTCTGTGAATGTGGACAAGGTTACCAGGACGCAGATCACATTATTTGGTCATGTGCTGAGCACCGTGGAGTCAGATCCGAGTTGTACGATTCCCTTCGGGCTCGAGGTAGACAACCTAATGTTCCAGTTCGGGATATTTTGGCTAGACGCGATCTGGAGTTTATGCAACTCATATATGTTTTCTTTAAGAATATTAACCATAGATTGTAAGTTTGATTAACCTTGTGTTTAGTTTGTATTTTGTGTGTGTGTGTGTTTTTTTTGTTGTAGATTTGTTTCTGTAATAATTGTATAATTACAGAGTTGATATAACGTCGATAGGATTAAGTATATGTTTTAGATATAGTGAAATTTTTGAATCATAAATCATATTCCAAATCTCCTTTTCCCTCTCCCGATCCAAACAATTGTCATCCACTAACCTCGAGAAGACCGCGAGTAATCGGTTCAAATCCTTTAATTTGAGATTTAAGACATTTATAATGTATAAAGAAAATGATAACTTGGCTCTGTAAAGTTTATTCGATTGAGCCTGTACAAATAAAGTAACTAACAAAAAAAAAACAAGTAAAACAAACAGTTAGAAGAAAAAGGTGTACACTCAACTATTAATTCGAGATTACGCAGTGGATTGACTAAGGATACAAAAGAACTTATTCTGTAATTTTTCGAAGATGACGAGACCAGCCGTGCAATGCCTGAGCGTGA